TTAGTAGAATGCTATAGTCATGTCACGTGCCAACAACAGCCGATAGGACAGCCACCAGTTATAACCGTAAGTTTTAATTTGCTGTACACGCTTCAATTCAGGAGTAAAAGCCTACCGGGTGTAATGCGAGCCATAGCCGTGAATTTGAGTATCGACAAATCTTGCTGTGCTGCGACAATTGTAAAGTGATTGTAGAGAGAGCAAGCTGTTTCTATATCTTTCAATTAGTAGAAATATAGGGATTGCAGTTACCCAATGGCTCATAATGGCGGGGTGCATAATCTCCAAGACATGTCAGGCGGGGCAAACAGAACCACCACCAAAAGCTACAGACTTATTAGCCAAGCCCAAGTTAAACCTCATCTGAGTCACTTTCATATTACGACCACCAAAGAATCCCTCTCCATATCTTATTCAATTGACATAAAATGTCTCTTACAAATGCCTCCCCAGAGGCTGCTGCCAGCGCCGCAAAGACAGCATCCTTCACTCTCGCCACTCTCCCGGCATCGGAGCGTAACAATGCCCTCGAAGCTATCCATGCTGCTCTGACTGCCTCAAAAGATGACATTCTTGCTGCCAACGCAAAGGATCTTGAGCTTGCAAAAAAAGCTGCTGCCGAGGGTGGTCTTAGCCAAGCTCTTGTATCACGATTGGATTTGGGGAAGAAGGGAAAATGGGAGGATATGCTCAAGGGAATCTTGGATGTGAGGGATCTAGATGACCCTGGTATGTTGAACCCTGAATGGGATTTTACAACAATTGTAAAGCTAACAGCAATTCCTTTTTCAGTTGGTCAAATTCAGATGAGGACAAAGCTTGATGATGATCTCATGATGGAGCGTGTCTCATGCCCCATCGGTGTTCTTCTCATCATCTTTGAGGCTCGTCCCGAGGTCATCGCCAACATTGCTTCTCTTGCTATCAAGTCTGGCAACGCTGCCATTCTCAAGGGTAGAACCAGCCCTCTCACTCATATTATGCATCAGACACTGACTTCCATCAGGTGGAAAGGAATCCACAGAATCCTTTGTCGCCATCTCAAAGGTCATCTCATCAGCTCTTGAGACCACAAAGGTCCCCAACTCAGCTATCCAGCTTGTCACAACCCGCGATGCCATCGCCGAGCTTCTCGCCCAGGACCGCTATATTGACCTCGTCATTCCTCGTGGCTCAAACGAGCTGGTCCGCTACATTAAAGACTCCACCAAGATTCCTGTTCTCGGCCACGCTGATGGTCTCTGCCACATTTACCTGACTGCTTCGGCCGACAAGGACAAGGCTATCACTGCCATCGTTGACTCCAAGACTAGTTACCCCGCCGCCTGTAACGCGGTCGAGACTCTTCTTGTGCAGGAGTCCGCCCTGAACTCAGTTTTCCCTGGCGTGGCTTCTGCTCTTACTGCCAAGGGCGTCTCTCTCCGCGTTGATGAAGCCAGCAAGGCTGCCATCGCCTCTCTATCATTAGAGGGTGTCCAGGATTCCACTCCCCAAGACTATGATACCGAGCATCTCTCTCTTACCATCGGTGTTAAGACTGTCTCCTCTATTGACGAGGCCATCACTCACATCAACACCCACGGCTCACACCATACCGATGCCATCATGACCTCAGACTCTGCCGAGGCTGAGCGTTTCATGAACGAGGTTGATTCTGCTGGCGTTTACTGGAACGCTGCTACCCGTCTTGCCGATGGTATGCGGTATGGCTTTGGTACTGAGGTCGGTATTAGCACAAACAAGATTCACTCTCGTGGCCCTGTCGGTCTTGATGGTCTTACCATCTACAAGTACAAGATCAGGGGCGATTACCAGGCGACCGCTGACTATGGTGACGGCGAGGGAAAGAAGCCTTGGAAGCATGAGAAGCTGTCCCTCTAAACAAGCATTTGCAAAAGGATGGACAATACAAGTCAAGGCGTTGGTATAAAAGTTTAGCAGATGTCTCAATAGTAGGCCGCCGAGGTCAGAGTTCCAATATATTTCTACCGTAGGAAGGTCCGTTTTGTTCCACTATTTGTTTCATTATTCTATGTCATACCAACGGCCCAATAACTCTTGATCCGGTCTCGCAAGAGTATAAAGATGCACTGTTTTAGCCGACACGCCCCATCACTCCATGTCGCGCTTTTCAACATTACAGCGAGCTATTCTCGTACTGCTTGATCAGCTCGTCAAGCTTAGTGCCTTCAGTCTTGAAGTCCAATGGCGCCACCGACATCACAGAGTATCGTATCCTAGAAACCAATGTTAGTTTATGTCAATAAAACAAATCTTGTGCTGTGTACCTTTGAGCATCGCCAAAGTTATCCATCTTTGCCCTGCATCGGAAGGTGAACTTCTTGCAGTTGGCTTCCTCAAAAGCTGCCGTGAACTTGGTGTCGTCGTTTTCCTTGAGCTCCATCATCTCGTCAGCTGATCGGCCCATAACTTGTCGGCCAACATCATCGAAGCAGCTGAGCCATTGATGGCTGGTGTGGTCGGCAACGTTCAATGACAGAATGTATCGGTACTCAGGCTTCTCGTGAGAAACGTTGCACTTTTCGCATTGCCATGTGCCATCAGGCATCTGTGTGACCTTCTTGTTGCAACCCTGAGACAGGCAAGCAGGATAGCAAAAGCTCTCCTGCTTAACAAAGACAATGGTGGCCTTGATTGTGTAGTAAGCCTGGTCGTCCATGCCAAGATTCTCATCCTTGACTTGTGTAATGGTCTTCAAGTCTTCCTTTCGTCCAGTAGCATTACCCAGAGATGCCATGTTCTGGTGAGTAGCAAACGTGTCTGTTCGGCCAGCAGAGTCGTACCAGCCCTTCAGTCTGTGAGCATCGGGAATATCAGGATCAACACTCATTGTGCCGGAAGAAAGAAGACTGAGACTCTTGCCACCAAAATCAGATACCTTGGTACCCTTAAAAGCCACCACAGACTCGGGAGCGGCATCGAAAGAGTTGGCGTTCTTGCCCCAGATGGTGACGCGGACTGAAAAGCCGGTGTCATCCACAAGGGTCAGTTCTCGCTTTTGGAATGGTCGTCCGTCCTTCTTGGATATGATATCTCCAACCTCGCCGACCTCCTTCAGTACACCAATAACATCGACAGTGTTGTCCTTCTCCACGCTTTGCAGTTCTTGAATCGAACAGAAATTGAACCTTACTTGAGGAACATTGGCCTGATCCTCTGCCTTTTCAACGACGGTATCGCGTTCGAATGTGAGCTCGTAATCGTTGGGGAGGTTGGAAAATTGCTTCTTGGCTAATTGTACTCGGCAAGGAGTAGAGATGTAATACACAGAGCCCTCCTGTAGGCGGTCGTAGAGAGCATCGCACTGATCGTTGAAACCGGTCGCTTTGATCTCACCGCTCTCATCGAGCAGGTTGACACTGAAAAGTTTACCCTCTCCAGTGGACTTGTGCCATGTCTTGATGTCGGATTTAGCGGTGACCCGGGCCTTGATGGTCCATTTGTGTGCAAAAGGCGACAGACCCTCGATCGGGTAGATGTTGCTGCCAGCGTGCATGGCGGGTCTCGAGGGCATTGATTGCTGCTGTTGTTGGAATTGCTGAGGTTGTGTCTTTGATTCCTCCTTCTTGACACCGTAGAAATCGCCACCAGCAATGGTGCCTTCCTGGCCAGCTGGCTTTGCGTCAAAGGCAGACGGCTCACCAATCTTCTCTTGGATACCTAGAGATTCGATGACTTCGATGTCAAGGATGACGAGAATGCTAATTGTGGTTAGAAACGATCGAGAACAGGTCAGATAGATACATACTTCTTGCCCTTCAGGTTGTTGGGTGTATATTGCTTGATTCGGGCAAAGCAGCCACGGACCAGTTTGTTATCGTGAACGACGTGGTTGGCCTGGGTAGCAAGCATAGTCTGAACGTAGTGCTGTCCATCGCTCATGACAAGTCGATATCTATCTCCTCCTTGGGCCGAAGGAGCCATCTGCTTGACTTGAAGACATTGCAGGACTGGTACGGGGAAGAGCTTGGTGGCTTTGTCGGGATCGTTGAAGATCACGCTGTACAAGAATTAGCAAGTGACGCGACAAGACGGAACAAAAGGATGAGGACATACTCAAGGGCGCCTTGTGATAGCGCTTCTGCTGCGGACATTTTTGCTGTAGTTTTGCTTCGTTCTTGTGAGATGGTGAGTGTGATTGAAGCGGATACTTTCTTTAGGCAGTTCTGTTGGAGAGGTGATGAGAGAGTGAACTAGACGCGTTCAGCGCGTTGAGTGGAACGCGCTTGTGGCAAGAAATCGCGGGGTCACTTACGTAAAGGTGTGGGCAGTGGATGGAAGGTCTCCCAGTAGGGTCCTTCCAGGCAGAAATGGACTATGAATTTAAAATCACGGTCGTCGTAAGATCATGCTTTGAATTATGCGGCACCCTCAAGATAATGAATGTTTTTTGTTCAATTAACACGGCTACTACTACAGCATAGCAAAGGTTCTTGTATCCTACAGAGCAAATTTTGTACCAAAACTGTTAATAGATATTATTTACTCGTAATTACTTTAACCTGAATATATACTGCTTTAATTGATTTTCATGAGTATGCCCCCAAAGTGCTATGAGACAGCTATCTCTTGTAGGTATGGTATGTAAAGGTACTTGCCCCAACAGAACTCGCTACGGATTGCTGGGAGAAGATTGAGAACTGAAGATAACCCAAGGGTTCATTCAGATGAGAGACAAATCATCCTAATTAAATACGTTGGTTTGTTGGCATTTCCTGTCTTGTCCTATCGTGTCAAAATTACAACAATATAGAAGCCTAGCTGCTGTTCCTGGGCTGAGAGTTACCCCTCCAACATGACATGACGTCGAGTGTTGAATTCCAGCTTACCTACGGCCAAGTTCCAACCAACTGCGTTACCTGCGCACTTCAAGCTGCCCCTCCACGTGCAACAGCAACTTCATCCTCCATTGTCTCCCAACTCACCAACATCTCCGCACCAGACAAGAAACGTAACAAATCATCCACAAGCTTCGCGAAATGGCTGACGCTGAAAATGCTACCCGCGCGCCTGAGAGCGACGCCCAGGAAACTCTTGCGGCCAGCGACAATATCCAAGCTCCAGCTCCAGCTCCAGCTGTTGTAGGCGAGCATTGTGTATCTGACAGACCAACTCGTACGCAACTTCTTTGGCAATAAAGATTCCTTCCACTAACGGTCGTAGCTTCTGGTCAGTCATCTACTGGAGAAATCATCAAGCTCAACGATGTTGATGTATGTATACGGACAAGCTCGAAACTCCCAAGCTCCAAGCTGATCCTCCCTTGCTTAGGTCTACATCTCAAAACCAACCGACTACCCCCATGCGCCATCACGACTCCTACTCCTCCTGACAGGCGGCACTGGTATCAAGTCTATAAACAACCAAATCCAAGCCGATAGATTCGCCTCAGAGGGCTACCTTGTCCTCATGCCCGACCTCTTTGGTGGTGACACGGCTCCTGGCTCTCAGGCTATCGCAGACGACTCTACATCCATCCTCGAGCAATTCAAGCTAAAGGCCGTCGAGGTTACAAAGTCATTCCTTATCGACATGTGGCTCGCTCGTGTGACGGACGAAAAGGTCATGCCCATCCTGCACAAGGTCATTGATGTTGCCAAGGAGCAATACGCCGACGCGATCAAGCAGGGCGATGGTATTTACGCAGCTGGATACTGCGTTGGTGCTCGATTCGTGCTCCTGCTTGCAAAAAAGACAACCGCTACTACGGGCGATGCCGAGAGTGGCGACGTCAAGAACGGGCCATACATCAAGGCCGGCGCTTTGGCGCATGCTGCTTCAGTTGTCCCAGATGACTTTAAGGACATCAGCGCTCCCATCAGTCTAGTTTGCGTAGAGAACGACCCTCTCTTCCCTGAAGAGGTGCGGATAGGCGGAGAAGACAGTTTGTCCGATGCCAACGTCGAGCACGAAGTTCAAGTTTATCCTGGAGTTCCTCATGGTGAGTTAATCCATGTTATGCATACCATTACAACAAACTAATAATTGTTACAGGATTCGCTGTTGTCGGCGAGTACCAAGATCAGTCCATCAAGGATGCGCAAGCCACTGCCTACGACCAGATGCTCAACTGGCTCAAGGCTCACTAAACATTTCATGATACCTTAACTTTGGAAATATGCAAGCGTTCAGATCGCTTAGGTGCGGTTTCTTTTTGCCTCTTTTAGTGCAGCTCCAGTGATGGAATATGTAGTCGGTATGATCCATTCGTCGTTCAGTCTTCAACTTGGCATCAAATAGTGAATGGTCACTTTCATTCTTTGTTCACATGCTTCACAACAGTGAAGTTGATTTAAATTTCATCATTGCCATTCATCAAATTTAGAATTTGCGACTTGGTCTCAGAAGTCATATCTAGGGAATAGTGCAAATGATTTTACCCAAGTTCTTGGCGTCTTCCATATGCTTATGAGCTTCCTGGATCTGCTCCCAAGGGAAGACCTCGTCCACAAAGATCTTGAGTTGGCCGTTCTCAAAGTCTGGGATGTACTTCTCCAATCGATCTCGCAGCTCGCCCTGATACTCCTCATCACGACTCCTGAGAGTGCTACCTTCGATACGGAGTCGCTTGAACAGGATCTGGGAGATATCTGCATCAGGAACCTTGGCACCGCTAAGCGTTCCTAGGAGAACCATGCGTCCATCACGCGCGGCAACGTCCAGGTTCTTCTGGAAGTAGTCTCCACCAACAAAATCGACAATGTAGTCAACACCCTTGCCTCCCGTAGCCTTCTTGATCTCCTCAACCCAATCCTGAGTCTTGTAGTTGAAAGCAGCTGTTGCTCCGAGTTTGGAAGTGATAAAGTCGAGCTTGTCCTGAGATCCAGCTGTGGCATAAACCGCAGAGGCTCCGGCAACGCGCGACAGCTGGATACCAGCAACCGACACCCCAGAAGCACCAGCATGCCACAGAATAGATTTGCCCTTGGTGAAGGCGAGGACAAGATGCAAAGCCTGGGTTGCTGTGATCCAAGCCTCTGGCACGCCAGCACAAGTGGTAAAGTCGATGGAGGAAGGCTTGTGGAGCAACATACGGGTGCTGACCGCAATGTACTCGGCATAGGCGCCACCGTAGGCTAGACCAAAGACCTCATCACCCTCTCTAAAAGCTCCATGATCACCAGGTCCAAAGGACTCGATGATGCCGCTGAATTCGACACCCAGTGTCTTAGGTGCTTGAGGAGGAAGCGGGTAGAAACCTCGACGCTGGATTATGTCCATGCGGTTAATTCCAAAGGCTTTGATCTTGACAATAGCTTGCCCTTCGGCAGCAGTAGGCTTGGGCGTCTTGTCATTGATGAAGAGGGCATCACGCTCACCAGTGCCGCCTCGGATATCTGTAAGGTGGGGTATGGTTAGATATAGCGACGGATGGATGTGGTATCTTCATACCAACTGCTTTGATGTAATCAGTCATTTTTGCTTTGGATATGGATTTAAACTGTTCGAAATACAGGTATTGTCGTTAATGAAAATGAGCGTATATTGAGGTCAGAAATTCCTTTTTAAGAGTTGCATTGCTATGAGGCAATGACGTACATTACTAATACAGCAGCCTCACAGACGTCAATGGAAGCACTAGAGACAGACGTCGCAAGATATCTATTCTCAACCGAGGTTCCGTCGAAGATATCCCCATAAAAAGAGACGGGTCGATCTCTCATGAGCAAGGCATGACCAATATTCATACAATATTCATAGCCAGATATGAGCGATACAGTTATTGTAGTTGAATCAAGTCAACAATGTAATTCGAGGTGAGATGAACGGGTACAGCTGCATACAAAACCGGATTGATACTTATCCAGAAAACCAAAGATTGTGAGAAGGAATCGGTTTTCGACTAGAGTCCAATAGAATAAATATTCTAGTTGTGTCAAGTGGTAATCACTTGGGCAAACTCGAATGAGACATGTTGATGCCGACCACCAGGCAGCAGAAAGACTGGAATATTCGCATGCTCAGCACATCAGACCTAAAGGATATTTAGGAGCAAACAAAATATAGATGATGAATATCAAATTCGGGACTTCACGTCACGAGCGAGGATCTGGCGGCGGCGAGGCATAGCTTGTACTAAACAACCAAGAAGAGTGATGCCAGGTTTGAGAGTCATCGAGGATGACAAACAACGAAATCGACTTGAATTGATAACTAAGATGAACGAATATGAAGTCGACGTCTAGCATGATAACTGTAGGTAATATTCAACAACGCCTTTCAAATCAACTCTTTTCTTATCAGCCGACTGTCGAATCAGACTATCCGGAGAACTAGCAATGATCAGCAACCACTACACTCCAGTACCTCAAGGATTGGAGATTAACTATGGCGTTGGCTCAAGATCTAGTTCCATGCTGGTAAATTGAGTAGCCCAAATATAGATCGGTGATCGAATTGGAGTTAGAATCACTAGACTCTAGTAAAAGCACCGGCTCGAGATAATGAGTGGGCCTAGTAAATGAGACTTCTTGGTGGTTGTCTGGTCGCTGAATAAACAGTTCAAACAAAACAACCTCGCGTCAATACAGGTAAACAACTCAACCTCGAGAAATTGTTCACTTGCAGAACCAGTCAGAATGTTTGACATGCAAGGGTGTTAATGCAGCCAAGGTAGGTGTGAAACGGTCAGAACGATGTGTATGCACTTGCATGGATGATCTAGCAACCATCACCATGGTGGAAATGAAGTCCGGGGACGGTGCCGTAGTCAGACCTTTGCGAAGAACCATAAACCGCGCACAATCGAGTGGCTAAAAGGTTTATCGCAAACCTTCGGGGATAAATTAACAATTTTGAGTTGACCCTATTGTCTTGAACAGACTTGATAAGCTTCAACGCCTAGCAAGTGAGCGGAACGGGAACTTTGCATATTGAAATGATGCACGAAGAATCAGGCTAGAAGATAAACAGTAGACCATTGGGTTAAATTTGCAGCGGGTAAAAGTGCCTGTCGACGTCGGTTTGGGATAAAGCACTTCATATATGAATATATTCAGAACGCCACCGTTTGCCAAGCATTCGCTACCTCCACGATAATCCCCTCGGATCGCATCGATCAAAACCCTTGGCATGGTCGGACAGGCAGGAAGGAAGCGGCCAAAAGCTTGTCAGCGACCATTTAAAGAACTAATACGCTATTCGAAGACCCCCGGCAATTGTAGTAATCACTTTGTGTGGACTTTGAAACTGGAGATGGATCAATTCTGCTAGAACCGTGGGTCAACAATAGCGCCGGATGATGAGAGCTAAAACGGGACAAGAAGTTAAAAAAAAAAAAAAAAATTGAGAGAGCCCCGCGCCCCATAGTGAAGAATCAACAATATGGGGAAGATACGAGGTGTGATAACGTCTGTCACTGGTCGATTGTAGATATGGCCTGGTTCGAGGTCGAAGTGCTGGGTTTGAACGTAGATGCGCACACGCCAAGAACTGACCATGAATCAGCACATTGGAGAGATAAGGCTGTGGTAGTCGTAGATCCTTCAATTGCCTTATAGGTAAAGTACTTGTGTCCAAGCGGCCGTGGAGGAAATTATGGAGGGTAGCATCCAGCGACCCAAACTGTCGAGTTGCGTTATCAACGAGTTTGTAAATAAACTTTTCAAAGAGTAATGGGCCTGGCCTCTTCATTGAAACAGTATTTGACAAGGGAACCGGCCCGGGTAAGCATTAGAACCATGAGTCTTAGCCGTAAGTCAGATGCGACCGTTCTGAAGCATTTGAACTCGATACCACCACGGAAGACCCTGGAAAAGGAAAGTCAACAGACATTCATCTCCATCTGCCAACTCAGAAACTGCTCCACCTTGAAACAGCGTTGAGAAGAAGCAAAGTTGCTGCTGGTAGCCGATATGACCCTTTGCTCGCCTTATTTTTCTATCAAGCCCTGCGTGACTCAAATGAAGTGCTTTGTCGGGCTGTCGGTGTGGCGTTGGCCCACGCCATGTGTTGCATGTTGGATTGCATCCATGTTTGTGTTGATACAGTGACTGACGGCTCTGTTTAGTAGCGAACTGTTCCGCTTTTTCAGTTTAGCAGACCGCCTCTAGCTCGCTCCCCTATCCCCTGCTTCCTATGCATGCCGCGATGGATCGATTCGGGGCATTGAGTACCGTAGACAAAGGCCCGCCAATCACCGGTCAAGGCTGCACGGTTCCTTTCGGATTATATCCAATGACTGCCGGGAGAGCAATCAAAGAGTCAGCTATTTGTTGCCTGCCCAGTGAGGTTGCTATGATACTGAGCATAGTGGTTTTCAGACTCGCTAGGTAGTTCGGGCCTGGTCAGATCATGGTTAGCATGACTGTTTGCTTAACCAGAAAAAGGCAGACAGCTGGTTGATTGTCCGTGGTAATCAGCACCAGGGTTAGTGATCATCCATGCTTATCCTGTCACCAACGGACATCAAGAGTAAGAGTTATAGCTGTTGATGGGCACAAGATAAAAGACATAAAGACTGCGATTGGCGGGAGAAGCAGGTTGTCTGGAACCACCAAAAAATAAGGGATTGGCGGGCAGACAGCGGGAAGAGATTTGTTCCTGCATTAGCGTTACATTCTGCCAGGGCAGCGCCTGCCACCCACCAGTCAACGGGACCCAGAAAAGGAAGCTGCGACACCACCTAAATTTTTGGGTGGTTTGGTCGTACCTTCCATTTCATTCATTGGATAATGCCCGCTGTAGAGGAACCGGGTGGCTGCCTCGCATCCACGCGACAAGCCGTCGTTCTTAGTCTTTCATTTGGTCTCGTCTCTGTAGAACGACATTAGCCTTAGCTTCGAGATCGTCCAAAGACGCGCAATCATACTCGAAGGATTATCGATCGATCACCAAAGTCCTTTGAAAGATCTTGGCTTTGGCTGGTATCAGTTCTGTTGCCAATCGCTTTGGTCGCATCGCTGTACCGTCGTATTATAGGCAATTAATATGGCCCAGAATTTGGAAACATGTCTTTGCTGAATGGACTCACTAATGCGAGTGCTACTCTAGATTTTTCTCTTATAATCTTCCTGGGTAGACTATCATATTCATATCCCGTTACTTCGGTATCTGTCTCCCTGGTTATGGGACCAAGTCCCAGCTCTGA